TATTTAGATTTCAATTTTTTGCAGAGCAGCAGGTTGAGCCAAACATCCTCTAAATGTGCAGGGTCATCTTTGAGCACGCCATTTCACTTTTCTTTCACCAGTTCACCGCAGTTCTTCCAGCAGTCCACACTTTCTCTGCTCTCTTTTTCTCATGGTCTTCTCCTTCTTTCCCATCGCCCGGCTTGCCACAGGTTTGCCTGCTGTGTCTAAAAGTAGCAGCAGCAGCAACCCAGACTGACAGCAGCTCATTGGCTAATTTGGATCACGTGCAGCCTGGTCCTGGACATGCAGGAGGGCTTTACCATATTAACAGGAGAAGCAGCGCAAGTGAAATTAGACACTGTCGTCGGACAAGATGCGGTAATTTATAAATGTTTTAAATCAGGTTGGGTCCGGATTAGCCAGCAGGACCCTGGTCCGCTGATTCGTGACCCCTGCTGTAGAGTATTCAAAATTATTAAAGACATTTATCAGACAGAATTTGGCTATGCATTTGAAATAGGATACATACATGATGTTTAAGCTGTGCCCGTAAGGAAGACTACTAGGACAGTTAGTGATGCTATCCACCACAGAAAGTGCCCTTTCTTTTTATTTATTTATTTTTTTTACATCAGCACCTTTTCATGTCTTCGTTTACTTCAGTCACATTTGTTTGATATTATTCGCCCTAAATGGTAAACGGTTGGTCTATGAGATGAAAGTAAAACCTCACTCTTCGGTGTGGATGCAGTTACTGAGGGAAAAACACGCAAAGTTAGCTACGCTTCTTTTATGTGTTAGCTTTAATAAAACGAACCCCGAAGAAGAAATTCAAAACTCAAAGAGTCCTGAGTCCAATCTAGCTTTAATAGAGAGCAACAATTTCAGTGGATAACAGGAAGGGAGAACAAAGACAGCAAAGTTGCCCTGCTTTATTCGTATGGGCTTTAAAATGTAAGAGAAAATATAGACACATTTTGGGAAATCTCAAAGTTTAAATAAAGATTTCAAAATTCTGGAATAAAAATCTTTTGTTTGTAATGCCGACCAAGCCAACTGCAAAAAAAAAATGCTAAAGCTAGGTTAATATGCCAACAAGTTATTCATTTTGTCTATGTTCACGAACAGCAACTGCTCTTCACATAGCATCAGTATTATACTGTCTTTGCTCCTAAATTAAACATTTATTCACAGCACAGATCTAATAAAAACCTGATAAATTTTCTTATATTATGTGTTAGGTTTATTCAATGATGATTATAAAATTAATGTGTGTGTGCTTATGAAACATTGGAGCAAGGAGATGCTTCACTCTGTCTTGTGATTCAGTCAGTGGAGCATCCTGTCTTATGACCTGATCAATTGTCCTGTCAGAACAATACTCTGTTTTGTAACCATGTCTTATGTTCTGGTAATAAAAGGCACTGCAGATGAAGGGAGGTCCGAGAGAGAGCAGTGTGTTGGGTTGCGTCTCTCCCCTCCTGCAGGAAGTTGTTGAAAGTCCCTTTCTGTGTGTATTCAGTCCTTCTTTTACGAACCTACATTTTTTAACCTAACATTTTGCTTACAGAGAACTGTAAGTTTATGTCCAAAATTAAATTTACAAGGTTAGAGCTTAAATAAAAGCAAAGATCGTAACCTTGTCATAAAATTCTAACTGGATCAGAGCTCAACTGTTTCCTTCACAGAAGGAGCCCATTGTGAAGCTAGTTTAATATGACCTTCTCAAGCATAGAAAGTATTTATAGGGAGTTTTTTCCTCTCCACTGTCACTAAATGCATGCTCGATATGATGGACTTCTGTAGAGTCAATGAGTCGATGTAATCAGCTGGTTTTCCTTAGGTAGAACTTTGAATCAATCTGATCGTTTGTTCTGGTTGAATTGTCTCTGGAATTGCCTTGAGATGACATGTGTTGTGAACTGTTATATATGAACGGTTGCATCTTAACACTAAGTATTTAATAACTGCCTCCATTAAGCAACCTTTTCATTTATAAGGCCTATTTAAATAAACCCAATAATATAAACAGCTGTGGAATATGCCACTTAAACTAAAGAACTAACAAATTACTTAAACAATCACACGTCAGACTTACGCTCTCATGGATGCAAAGCTCCAGACGGCCATCTTGCACAACGTAAATGCTGTCATCAGTATCACCGGGTCGGAAGAGTGCCTCCCCCTGGTGCAGCTGGATCAGAACCATGTGGCGACAGAGCTCCAAGAAGAGAGGTTTCTCAAAGTGACCGAGGACCCTGAAGGCAAACCACAGCTTCATTGCAATTTCACTATATATGATTCACCTTCACATTTTTTGGGGAATTTTTTTTTGCAATTAATTGGTTCTGCAAAACTATATATAAAAAAAGCCTGTGGAGATAATTTTGTTAATCAATTTAATTTTGCACCCACTAAAATGACATGCAGGGAATGAAGGGAATGAGAGAAGGACTGTATTGGGTGCTGCAGCTTTATAGCTGGTGTCCTGTGTGGTTGGATCTGTTCTGAACTTTTCTTCACAGCAGTGTTATTAAAGCTCCGAGGGACACATAGGAGGAAAGATCACAATCAGCGTTTGCTCCTCATCATCTGCTTTTAAAGAAAAAAACCTACGAATAATACATACACTGCAAAAAAATGAAATCTAAATAAGTCATTTCTTCTTAAAATAAGTGCATTTTTTCTTGAATTAAGGATTTAAGTGAGACACTTTGCCAATGGAACAAGACAATTTACACTTAAAATAAGAAAAAACAATTGCATTGTCTTATTTCAAGTGCATTTTATCTAGATACCTTATTTTAAGAGTAAAAATACTAATTCCATTGGCAAATCATCTTATTTAACTGCTCAAATTAAGGGTAAATACCCTTAATTTAAGAAATTTTTACTCATTTTGAGATCATTTTTGCAGTGTATGCTGAAGAATCTTTGACAGTGGGAGAGAACTCTACCGATGAAGCTTCATGAACGCAAATCTGCTTTAGGAGGGAAAATCTGCTAATTATTAAAGGAATCTTTTGCTTTCCTGGGAAGATGGAAGTGTGTAGTTTTTTTTCACAAACCTGACGTTCTTCAGCATGTACAGCACCTCTGAGGGCAGGTGGGAGTTCTGGACGTCAAACTCAGTGAGGTCAGCTTCAAGCAGACAGGGAGGGGGCTCTTTGGGCTGCAGGGTGGGCGGTTCCTTCCGGATACGCAGAATCCTAACAAGCAGGTTAAGAAAACGCTTTTACTTCTTACCAACTAAGAGCAAACAGAAATCTGTCCCATAAATAGGATTTGTCTTTCCTATTAGAGGTGTTAACTGCTCCCTCTTTGAACCTAACCTCATCAAAAGATTTATTTTAAAACTCTCACTTTCGAGCTATGGACAAAACTTTGGTCCTCTTCCTTCCTCTCTGTCGGGAGGCTGAAGTGGAATTGGATGCAGGCGTCGTGGACAACGTTTGAACCTGCAGCAGAAAAAAGAAACGCAAAGAATTAAAGACAGCAAACGATGTTTCATCAAGACTAGATTGGCAACGCTCTCGTGTTAAGGGAGTGAAAACCACGCTGAACAGAGCACATATCCGCAGACACCAGAAAGAGGCTTGGATTAGTGAAGGAGAGCAACGGTGAAGCCACTTCATTCCATGAATGCAATCCATTTTTTAAAAAGGAAACAGAGTCCTGTTTCACATGGGCAGTTCTAGACAGGGCCCCTGTAGATCAAGTCCTAGCCCCTGTACTGAAGACATAATACTTAAAGAAATTCTAATGATGATCTGCGCTGAAACAGACATGGTTACTGATAGATCCTTTGGATCTATTTAATTTTTTTCTTTCCAAATTCTGTTTTATTAACTGTTTAAAAACATAGCATAAGTGATATTGAGATAGGATCCCAGTTTTCATCTGCTAAATGTTTTTTCCAAAACAAATGTAAAAAAACATACAAAAAAACTCTACTTTTTATAGCTAATTTTAACAGTTTTTCTTAAATTCTAATTCAGATTTTATAGAAAACTGTAATTTCAACTTGAATTAAGTAAAAAAAAAAGTAAAATTCCTTAATTCTGAATGTATTGATTGATTGATTGATTTTATTACAGACTCAAGGTCCAATATACATTAAAAGAAAACAGATACACTAAGAATAAAAAAGAATAAAAGTACAACAGAGAAGGTGCCTACCCCTTCAGAAGGCAATTATACCAATGTCTCCAAAGCACAGATGAATATTTAACTGCACTTGGTCATCAGTAAGATAATTCTATTATCAGACTCATTTAGACAACAAATAAATTTATACATAAGCTTTCTCA